GCGGGGGGGACTTCTGGCACAAACAGCAGCGAGGCACTTAAAGTGCAGAGAAACAGACATGGCATGCAGAACAAAGTGCAAAGACCAAAGTACACACAGTGCAAACCAATTTAAAAAGTACACAGCACATGAAGGACAACCTGGGAAGGATATAAGGAAATTAATGAATATAATTTAAAAAATTAATGGGAGGTATATGGGTAAATACACACAGACACACACTATTTCCCCATGTACCACAAAGGTAACTGAACTGCTGCTGTATAAACACTGAGCCCAAGATATGTAACAGAGCATGTGGAACAAAAGGGGGATTTTCCTCAAGTGAGGCTTCTTCTCTGGTAGGACCTTAAAGCAGGGGGCACCGTGGCCACACCGCGATACCTACTTGCTGCGGACCATGCCCCCCTGCGGTGGCCAGCCCTTCATGTCAGCTGCCTGGTATATGGAGCCTCCCTGGGGGTGCTGCTGCATCATGGGGTTCTGCCCAGGACCCATGTGGCCAGGCATCATGTTCCCAGGTGGGCTGCCTGCCGACTGGGCGAACGACGGCTCCCCCTGCTGGCTCATACCTACAAATGTCATAAAGCAAACTGTTAATAATAATAAACATTGATGGTGATGGACAAATTTGTCCCTCTCCATTTCTATCAGTCAGCAAGCTCATAAAAATAATGGTATGAGTTGCAGTACCATTACAACACTGATACACACACACACACAGTTTGTAATTATATCTTTGTGGGGACTCTCCATTCATTTCTATGGGGGAAAACTCATCACAACATGACGATCTTAACCCCTACCCAGCCCTCACCTTAACCATAAGTAACCAAACAAAACACAAGACTTTTGGCATTTTTACTCTTTTGATTGCATTCATAGATCTTCGCGGGGACCTAAAAAATGGTCCCCACAATGTCAAAGAACAGGTTTAAACCTAATCCACACACACACACACACACACACACACACACACACACAACGGGCCCCATTGCCTGATCCTGTTCCTGCCCATCAGTCAGCACTGGCTCCGCCCCTGCCTGTGGCCCAATCCCAATCCTGAACTCTCACACTTCATTGACTTCACCTGGTAAATGATTCGGGAAGAGAGGCTGCAAGGACTCAAAATGGTTCCTTATCATCATGGGTTTGGGACTTTTTATTTCAAGATTTGCACCTTCTTCACGGCCAGGACATTTACTGGACAGACTGCCTAATCTGAACGTGTTCCAGGCTCCGTTAATTGTGAAGTGTAAATTGGAAATTGTAATTTATTATTTTTTGTCAAAACAGCATCATTCAGCAATAAACTAAAAGAAATGGTTTGTTTACCATCCATGCTTCTGGGCCTCCTCTGATAACCCAGTGTTTGTCACAACACTATGAACTGTGGAAATTTCCTCAAACACAATCTGCAGGAATGCAGACTTATGGAAAGTGTGCATAAAGGAATCAAAATGTTTGTGAGGGTGCCTTCATGCACATGACGATCTGACAGTGGGACAGCCCTAAGACCCCAAGGGTGTGGACATTGGGATTGGGCCTGTTAGTCAGCGCCGGCTCCGCCCCTGACTGCCAGTTGGTCAGCGCTGTTTTGTGCTGCCAGTGGATCTCACCATAGTTTCCTCCATATGGGTAGGGTGGCTGTTGCTGCTGCTGCCCCGGTTGATTCATAGGGGGCCCCGCCATGGGGTGGTCCATCCCTGGGGGGGCTGTGACGTTGGGTGGGGGACTGAACCCCCCTGCGACGGCGGCCTGCTGCTGCTGTTGTTGCTGCTGTTGCTGCATGAGCATCATCATCCTCTGTCTGCGCAGCTGCATGTTTAACATCTCCCTGTTCCTCTGCGCCACCATCTGCGCATTCAGGAAGCCGGCCTGCCAGAGAGGGATGGGGTGAGCAGTGGAGGGGTGTGGGTTTAAGGCAGCTGCCTGTACTGATGCTGTCTTCTACCAATGCTGTTCACAGTCAGAATGGTCTATTCAGAGATAATAGTGAGTTCGGTCTAAGTTAATGACAGTGTCTGGTGAGAAAACAGGTACAGGCCTGTAGTTTAACACCAACCAGTCTGGTCACGTAACAAAGGCTGCTGGGGGCACAAGCTGACAAAACACTGCAATGCTCACACTGTGATCTCCGTGGAGGAAATGTTCTCAATGTTTTTTTGCACCTCGAAACAATTTTTACCATGTGAGCTCAGTCGAGACCCTACATCAGATACAGGTTTAGATTAATGCTATGAGCAAGCACGCAGTGCACTCTGCAATTTACGCCAATCAAAGCCTATAGCACAAATCTGATTGGATGTGCCAGTGAATTTTAAATTAAGAATATGTGGTTTGCTGGAGTGTTCAGTAGTCTTGCGCGAAGCATTTGCAGACCCAAGACCCATTTATATAGGTTAATTCTAGGACTGGGGCTGGGAAATCTGATCGTGGATCAGCGTAGGAGCTTGCTGGTTTTAATAACCCGGCGCGCCCCATGGGTCAGCACACGGCCCCCCTGACTGCTGCCAGCTTGTTCGTCACACATCCCAGTGACACACGCAGTGGTTCACTGACTGATCCATCACCACGCGCATGTGTCACATCCCGCACTGCGGTCCTGTCTATATCCTTGACCAATTCACAGAATGTGACCATGAGACTCAGTTCAAAGGCCCTCCGTGGATGCAAAGGAGAGCTCACAGCTGAACAGAATTTGATAAAAACACACGGTGTGGCGTTTGGCATGAGGTGCTTAGATGCGTGCAGCACGGCAGCACTCACCTGGCCGCCCATGCCGGGCTGCATGCCGGCCCGGAGCCCGGGGCCTCCTGTGGTGGGGCCCTCCATCTTCATGGCCAGGCCTTGCCGGGTCTGGTTCATGAACTGTGACAGTGGGAGCAGCAGCAGCACACGATAAACATACGGTCGTCGCTAACGGCCCAGCCGCCGGCTCACAGCCAGGACCCCTGCGCACCATCTCCATCCCGCTATAAATGTAAACGAGTGCGTTTGTGTGTGAGGGGAGTCACCTGCTGTCCCTGCAGTCTCTGCTGCAGTTGCAGGCGCATTGGCTTTGTGGCACTCATCATGCGAGGCCGTATCATGCCAGCACGGGGGGGCACGCCTGCCCCGGGGAAGCCACCCTGCCCTGCCATGCCGCCCATGCCCGGCCCGAAACCCTGCGGCTGGCCGGGCGCCGGGCCGCCCCCGTAGGCGGCCTGCATGGCCATTCCAGGGCCGCCTGGGTAGCCCGGGCCGTATGGCGGCTTCTGTTCCATCACTGCAGGCGACTCCTGGCCAGGGAAGGGCTCCAGTGGCTGTTCGGACCCTTGACCCTTGATTGTGGGGGGGTGGGTGTAAGTTAACATTGTTATCTCTTATAGATGAAAATGAGGTTCTGTCACGGGTGAGTATCAAAACATTCATTCTACAGATCAGGACATTGACTCTTTCACTGTACAACCCGCCATGCGATGCCAATTATCACTTACTACGGAATCCCATGTAATACTTTCCCTGACATTCTTTGTACTGTTACTGGCTATTGTCATTTGTTATGGGTCCAAGTAGCAAGAGCTGCTGGATACCTATTATTTTTGTTTATTGTTATTTTCTACTAATGTCCAAATTGTCTTTTCTGCCATCTAAATCCATCCATTCATTATACGGTGAGCTGTAGACACACTAATAACACAAAACGGGTAACAGCAACAGTGCTGTTCAGAATAAGTCTTTATCACACTGAGGGGACATTCGGTCCGGACAATGAAATATATACATGCCCCCCACCCCCCCTCCCCCCTCACACACACACACAAAACCAGTGCCTCACGTCCTCGGACCTGGCTGACGAGGTCGGGGATGCCCAGCGCACGGTCAATCTCCTCCAGCGCCATCACATCTGTGTTACTCAGAAGACAGTCCAACTGGTCCAGAAGAGCTCGCTCATCACTCTGGCCCTCACCGCTGCTAGGGGGCACTAGGAGGTCATCCAGGGGGCTGCCAAACTGACGCCTGAAACACAGGCAAAGGAGGTCACACTCACATACTAGCAGATCCTCATGGACAACACATACTCGATGTCCTTCCGTTCTCCCCGTTTAATGCTGAAGAACACCACGGTGCCCCCTTGTGGATCATTCCGCCATGGACTGACCTTCCCCGGTTGGCCTGCGCACCATGCTCCATTCCCACTGATCCATCTGGCCAGGAAGGGGAGGGACTGGGGCCACGCTGTGGTCCAAAGGGACTCAAGCCCATGTTGCCATC